CTATCCTCGCCTTTTTTTCGTCAGTCGCTAATTAAATCAAGCAGGTTTAAGTTAGTATTAAAATAAGCCTTTTTAAGAGTAAAAATTGTCTCTATTTTCGGCTGGTCTTCTTTTCTCTCTTTCTGCTCTTTTTCTCCTAATAATTTAACCACTTGGTCTTGTCAACTATTATCATCAGTATTAACTCCTAAAACTTTTTCAAACCACTTTTTTACTTCAATTAAATTATCAATTTTGGCCTCTCAACTGGCTTCTCTCTCTCTCTCTCTCTCTCTCTCTGGCACGGCATAAATATCAATTCCCAAATTATCTTTTAACTTATTGCGAGCCTGGGTTAGAACTTCGGCTCGTCGCTTGTTTTCAGCCAATATCTCTTGTGTGTTGACAATATTTTCAGGAAAATCATCCCTACCAACGATGTTCATCACCTCTTGTCCTGTTTTTTCAATATCACCTGGCTCCTTTCCCTCTTTCTGCTCGGCAATTAAACCCCGCAAAGTAGAATTAGACATTTGGGCTAATCGGCTTTTATAACCCCGTATCGTTTTTGGCTCGCTGCTGTCGTCCTCGGTCGCCTCCTCCGTGCGGTCATTTCAATTTAATTTAATGTTTTCTCAATCCAAAGTAGTTAAAACCTCAGCCAAGATTTCTCAATCCTTTTCTCACAAAAATGCCATTCCGGTCGGTTCGTTTTTGTCCTCTTCTGCCTTATCAACATTCATTCCCAGAGATTTTAATTTATCAATGGCTTTTTTTATACTATGAGATAATTGGACAAGATAATGGACTTTCTCGTCGTCATCTTTAACTCCTGAATACTCCGACCCTAATATGGCACGGAGGAAGGCACTTTCTCAGGCTTGCTTGCTTTCTCCCCCAGTTCCTCCGTCAATGGCGGCTCCCAGTTGCGGCAGTAGCGGCAAATTGGTGCCATTTTCTCCCCCCTCGCCGTTATAAAGAAGCAAGTTGGGTAATTTTTCTAGGCCCTGGATTTTGGTTTGGTGGTTATTATTACCAACCACAAGTGCTTGGAGAGCAACATTCTTACTCACATCAACTTCCGCAATTTCGTTAGCACAAATATTCAGTATTTTTAATTTCGGGCAGTTTTCCAGACCAATTATTTGGGTGATTTTATTACCAGCGACATTTAACACTTCTAATTTAGGGCAATTTTCAATAGTTAATTTAGTTATTCCCCCCGTTCTTAATAAACTAATTGTTTCCAAATTAGGATAATCCTCTATTTTTAATTCCCCTTCTAAGGTATCATCACCGATAACTGTGGGTTCTCGGCCCGGAAATACCGGAGTAATGGGAGTGAAAGGTTCAAGCGTGCCCTTTTCCATATTCAGGGCGGCTGTGATTTCTTTTATCTTTTTTCTATTTTCTTTATCTTTTTGGTTATAATTTTTCTTATTTTCTCTTTTTCCTTTATTGTAACTATAATTACTTTGAAGTCATTCTTGTGCTTTTGTTGCCATATTGTTATTATTATTTTCTTTTGGGTCTATATTATTATTTTTACCATCATTTTCTTTCTATTATGGTAAATCTCAGTAAGTATTTTTTTAGCTTTAGTGGGGATTTCTGTAAGTTCTAAAAAAACAAAAACCTTATTTACTTTTTCAAATATTTGATTACTGACTGCGCAGCAATGGCTCCCTCGGCAACGGCCGTCACAATTTGCTTGATTTTGTTGGGGGTTGCTCGAGCCACGTCTCCGGCAGCAAACAAGCCTGAAACTGCTGTCGAACAATCATCTTTAATGGCGACATAATTTTCTCGGTCGCAAACACCTAATTCATGAGCGAAGCTGCTGAACGGAGCAAGGCCAATACAGGGAAAAACCGCCTTAACTAATAATTCGCTTTTTTCATTATTTGCTAAATTACTAACTAATACTTTTTCTACTGCTTCACCCCCCTGAATTTCAGTCAAAACGGAATCCAAAAGAAAGATTATTTTCGGATTGTTTTGAGCCTGGATTACTATTTCCGGCTCGGCCCGAAATTCCGAGCGGCGGTGAATAAAATAAACCTTTTTTGCTACATTACTCAT